TCCTCCACCAAAGCCTTCACAAAGAAAAAAATATGTATGCAATTATATGTAGATATACAAATAAAATATAAATACATGTATTCGGGGAGAATAAGAAAAAGAAGAGAAAAAAATGAGTGAGCTAATTTATAATATAAGTAAATAACTGGGATATTTTATGAATTAACACTATTTCTTATAATAGATGTGTTTTATAACTGTGCTTTTTTTACCCCATCCCCATAACTATGTTCTTAAAAGAAAAAAAAAAAACATGTTTTACTGGCTTTGGAGTGAACACAAGCCTTCGGGTTAAAGGTTACATTTCCTGAGAGACTAAGACTCTTCAGCAAAAAATTCATTAATCAGAGTACTTACTTTTTATTTTTAATTTAGTTATCATGAAATTTTAACCATAAAAATTTATGGAGAATAACGTGAGTCTTTATCTTTGAATATCTGCTTCTATGAGGTGTATAACATATTGCCAGGTGTGGTGGCTCATGCCTGTAATCTGAGTACTTTGGTAGGCTGAGGCAGGAGGATCACTTGAGGCCAGGAGTTGGAGACCAGCCTGAGGAACAGAGCAAGACCCCATCTCTATAAAAAATACAAAAATTAGCTGAGTGTTGTGGCACGCACCTTTAATTCCAGCTACTTGGGAGGCTGAGGCAGGAGGATTGCTTGAGCATGGGCATTTGGGGGAAAAAAAAAAGATCTACAGGATATAATGGAGAACAGAGCATCGTCAAATCCAAATCCAGTCTGAATTGGGCCTTTTTATTTAATTCATCAAGTTGTGGTATTCTACAACCTTACAGAAGAGCACCTAAATGAAAAACATAATTTTAGTTTTATGAGATTGCATCCTCTCTTTGTAGGGCTCCTAGTCTATACATAATAAAAACCTGCATTCCCTTTCAATCAATATGGTACTGAAAAACCCTTATTTATCTATTGAAGTATAATTGACAAATAAAAATTGTTTATATTTATAGTGTACAATGGAATTTTGTATATATTGGTATGTATACACTGTGAATGACTGTCACAATCAAGTGATTAACATATCCATCACTTCATATATAGTTGTATGTGTGTGCCTGTGTGTGTGTGCATGTGGTTAGAACATTTATCTACTTAGCAGTTTTCAAGTATCCATAGTTATTACTCTATATTTCATATCTCACAGACTTTCTGATTTCACATGTTCATCTCACTATGAGTGGAGATGAATAGTAGTGGATTCAGGATATCTTTTGGAAGTAATACTGAAAAAATTTTCTGATGGATGGAATGAGTGAGGCAAGGAAAAGGTATTATCACCTCCATTTTAAGAATGAGGAAAGTGAGGCTCATTATCATGCCCACTATCCCACCCCAGTAAAAACAGAGTCAGGATTCCTGTGGAGGCTGGGCACGGTGGCTCATGCCTGTAAACCTAGCACTCTGGGAGGCCGAGGTGGGCAGATTGCTCGAGGTCAGGAGTTCAAAACCAGTCTGAGCAAGAGTGAGACCCCGTCTCTACTATAAATAGAAAGAAATTAATTGGCCAACAAATATATATATAGAAAAAATTAGCTGGGCATGGTGGCACATGCCTGTAGTCCCAGCTACTTGGGAGGCTGAGGCAATAGGATTGCTTGATCTCAGGAGTTTGAGGTTGCTGTGAGCTAGGCTGATGCCACAGCACTCACTCTAGCCTGGGCAACAAAGTGAGACTCTGTCTCAAAAAAAAGAAAAAAGGATTCCTGTGGATGTTGGGCAACAAAGCCCATATTTTTTCATGCTGGATATCCTAAATTGCTTCTCAGCCTTTTGGCTAAGATCAAGTGTATACTGGACATCCTAGGTGTAGTAAGGTTGGTCGAATAAAAGCCTATTTCATATTAGAGAATCGAACCTCTAGGGCAGTGGTCCGCAACCTCTTTGGCATGAGGGACTGGTTTCATGAAAGACAATGGACCGGAGCAGCAGGAGTTGGGGGGAATATGTTTAAATAGGAGCAGGATATTTGCGTGACCTAAGATGTCTCCTTAAAGATTGCTTATTAATTATAAGGAAAAACACAGTAAGTCTACTGTGGAGAAATCGGATAGCTTGACAAAGTAATCAAAATTAATAGCACTAATGAGGGACAGAGGGATATTATGTGCCTTTGGGTGTGATATACTGAGAAGGAAATAATATGACTTATGTAGTATTCTGATTAGGAATGGATAACCTGAATCTACTTATGAACAAATGTGAGATATATACAACAAATATAAACAACAACCCTAAAATGAGGATAGCCTAAAATGAGGAACATTCTATTATCAAAACAAAGGCTTGTATACTTCAAAACTATCAAAGACAAAGAAAGAAAGCAAAGAAAGCCTAAGGAACTGTTCTAGATTAAAGGAGACTAAAGAGACATGACAACTAAATGCCACATATAATCCTAAACTTGTTCTTGTGCTGGAAAATTTTTTTAAAATGCTAAGGATGTTATTGGATCAATTGACAAAAATTGGAATATGAATGGTAGATTAAAGTATTATATCAATGTTACATTTCCTGGAGTTGATAATTATATGTATTGTGTTTATGTACTTATTCTTAGAATATGCAAGTATTAAAGGGTAAAAGGGCATGATGCATGCAACTTACTTTCAAAGGGTCAGATAAAAATGTATGTTATGCATCACATATCTTTATCTATCCTATCTCTCTCATATAAGAGTACAAATGATAAAGCAAAAGAGGCAAAATGTTAATAAGTCAATCTAGATAAATGATATATGGGTACTCTTTTTATTATTCTTGTAACTTTTCTACATGTTTGAAATTATTTCCAAATAAAAGGTTTTTCTGGGGTCTGAATTTTTAAAAAATCAAGACCTCTCCTTTTGTTGGTTCAAGGGATTTTTCTAGGTTCTTCCTCTTGTCCTTTACTTCAGACCTTCACTTTCATCTGGTTTTCCCAGTTTTATAACCTGTCAACTTCTATTTGAATTCTCTTTTTCTTCTTAGCCCCTTGGATTTGATATTTGTTTGGATAGCTTGCCTAGCTTTTTGATTCAGGTTTCCCAAGACACAACCTTCTGGTTAGCTTCTCCCATTTGGCCATAAGCACTGCAGCTCCTGAGCAAAAAACTTCTTGCCTGCAACACTGAATCTAGGCTCTAGGCCCCAGGGAGATATCATACCCTGAATGAGACGTCAATGCTTCCAACTGCTAATAGCCCCATCTCCCTCTCCAGTTGCCCTGACTTTGCCTGGGAGGAAATATTTCACTTATCTGCCCCCTTCTCTTGATAGTCCCTGCTTGATCAAACATTCATCATTAATTTTCCACTTAGCCTCCCTTTCTCTACTCCAGCCAGCCATCTTCCTCACCATCACTAGTTCTCTCATATTACCTGTCTGATTAAACCTCTAAAAGCTCTTCTTTGCTTTTCAAAATCGGACTCAACTTACTAATTCCATATCCTGCCACTTCTCTGCTGAACTGTAAGCTCCTTCAGAGCATGATCATGTCTTTTCTTTTTTGTATCCTTAATTTTTAACATAGTGTCTGGCACACAGAAGATGCTCTATAAACATTTGTTGAATGGACAAATGACCTCCAGCTACACTAAACTTTGAAACTTCTTTGAGCATATCATGCTTAAATATTACCTTCTCTGATAGTCTTCTCTGACTCCCTCATCCAAGTCTTACATATGTCCGAATACATTTTTTTCCTAACTAGACTGTAAGCTCCCTGAGGGAAAATATGAATGTTTTAGTCATCTTGCATCTGACTCAATGTCTAGAATAGTATCTAGAATAGAGCAGGCACATAAGCAGTTTGCTGGATGAATGAATGAATGATTTTAGAAAGAAGAAAATACTAGACTTTAAGAAGCTTCTTGTTTAGTGAGAAAGACTGAAGAAACAACCTAAGAAAATGACAATAAAGATAAAAAAGTAATAATACATAAGGTACAAATAAGTAAATTATCTAAGTAGTCAGATGATGATGCAGAAGTAGAATAAAGTGGGAATAAATCAGCAAAGTTTCCCTAAAGGTAAATTTTGAGATATGTTTGAAAAGAGAAAAGGGACATAACTTGGGAGAATAGGAGATTAGGAGCATGTCATAGAGTTGGGTTGAATCAAGGCATGGTAAACAATTCATGTGACTTTTTTTTTTTTTTTTGGTGAGAAAGGGTCTCACTCTATCACCCCAGCTAGAGTACAGTGGTGTCATCATAGCTCACTACAACCCCAAACTCCTGGGATCAAGCCATCCTTCTCCCTCAGCCTCCCAAGTAGCTGGGACTACAGGTGTGCACCACCATGCCTGGCTAATTTTTCTATTTTTTGTAGAAATGGTGTCTTAAACTCCTGGCCTCAAGGAACCTTCCCACCTCAGCCTCCTAAAGTGCTAGGATTACAGGTGTGAGCCACCATGTTCAGACAAAGCTGACTTTTTGAGCAGGATCTGCTCTGCCCTAGACCATAGGTTTCTGCCTCTTTCTGGCTCACCAAACACACTCATGGTTTTTTTTTTTTTTTCCTCCCATTTCTTTATTAGGAAGAGAACTCTCTCTGTTTTGATGTTTCCCTGGTCAGCCCAATGTGAGAACTTTAAGTTCTTTAAATAGTAAGAAGGAAGTTTCTGTGAATATATACAAACAAAATCATGAGATTGAACACTTTTGCTAATCCTGGTCCTCTAGGGAAATAAACTTCCCTGTTCCCCATAATATGGAACTGCTCCCAGTATTGTTAAGGCAGGGTGAAACCCAAATGACTTTTCTTAAAGGTACTTAGCACACTTTACAAAACTTTTGTCTATTTTTGCGAGGAGATGGGGAATCCAAGGACATCAAGGATGTTAATGAGTGAGATCTAAGAAATAGAACTTGATAGCAAAATCTTGTCTTAGCTACATCTGACCCCCTCCTCACAGAGTATATGCAAATATCCATGAGGCTGGGCAGACAATTTCTAGGGCTCAGATCACTGCTGCCTCCACTGCTGCCTCCATCCCCTTGTGGGATGGAAAAAAATGAATATATTATACCATAGTCTCCCTAAAAATGTTCCCCACTCTAGGAATCTGAACATTTTACACAGCAGGAGGTATATCTGAAGTCTTATTGAGTCTCATGACTCTGGTAGATGGCGATTATCTTTCTATTAGGATAACCTAGTTTTTTCATGCAATGTCAATTTTTTTAGAATGTTGTGCCCAATGCATTCTGTTTCCTGAATAGCCACAGCCTTACTACCTTCTGGTAGATGCAAGAAAATTATGATGTTAGCATTCATTCACTGCATGTTTTGAGGTGCTGGGTTCGGAATACAGCTTCTCACCTCCTAATGCAAACACAAGCTCCCAAGGCAGCAATGGGAGAGCCCTCTAAGGGTCTCCTGATGTACAGGGAGATTTCCAGATCCCATACATGTAAGTCACACTGCTAGAATGTCTCTAGATGGCAACAAAATATGAAAGCTTAAGCTGAGGTAATTCCTCACCAGCAGGGGGACTTCCCGGGTAGGCACTGCATCCCCCGCACACTGTCCAATTTCTGGGGTTGTCACACTGTGGTGATGTCACACTGGCTGGGATGACATTTTACAGCTGGACCCCTTACAGCCACCAGGCACTTTTAAATTACTGCGGAGTCTACCGTGAGGAGGGGGCGGGAAATCCGGCCCCCGCATTCGATCCACGCTGGCTCCCCACGGAGGCCCACCCACTCCCACGACCATCAGTACCATGCGGTGGTCGTAGTCTGCCGGATCCTCGGCACTTCCGCCTCAGTAGGTGTCATGGCGCTGGGGGTGCGAACAGTTCCGGCGAGGCGGAGCCGGCCGGATGGGGGCGGCCGCTCGGCGCTCAGCTCATCGGGTCTGGCGACAACGGCGGCTGCGGAGTAAGGGGCCCGGCGGTAGCCCCGGACGGCAGCGGGAGGCCGAGGCGGGAGCGCGCGGGGCCGAGGCGGCGGCGGCGGTGGCGGGAAGGGGCCGGGTGGCGGAGCGGGCGGGAGGCTGAGGAGGCTCCCCCCGCGGGACGGGCGCGGGGACGGCTCCGGGGGGCGGGGGCCGGGGCCCGGGCCGGCTCGCGCGGGGGGTATGATGACCCGGCGGCGGGGCCCCGGATCTCGTCTCCTCCGCCGCCTCCTCGCGGCAGCCCCAGCTCGCGGCTGAGAACCAGACACACCGGCGGTGAGTGTGGACGGGAGGGAAGGGGCCTTGGCAGGGAGCGACCTCCTGTCCGCTCCCCGAGGCGCGGCCCAGCTGGCCGCGGGCTCTCCTTGGGCGCCCGGCCTGCTGGGGGCGCCTTTCTGAGCCCGGGATTGGGCGCCGCGTCCTGCGGCCCGACTGCTGTCGGCCGCGGGAGGGGCTTGCGTTCCCAGGAAAGTGGGCAGGTTCGGGGCTTGTTTTCGGGGCTACTCCCCTTGTCTCCTGCCACTTCTCTCTTGGGTGTGTTGTCCTTAAGTGACAGAGGACCGCCTTCTGTCTCCTCACCCGGCAGGTTTTTTTCCCCCGACTGTCGTGGCAGGTTCCCAGTGTGTGGCTTGTGCGTGTGTGTTTAACAGCTCTGCTTAGCACCTTGGTTTGGGGTTATTTGTGCTGTTTGGGACCAGGAAGCGGTGTCGGGAGAGGAAGAAGGTGGTGGGCTGGATGTGGAAGCTTTTCTTTCCTCTCTGCTGATGTTCTGTAATCGTTAGGTTTGTAATTTGTAATGATGGTGTAGGCTACGTGGGACCAGCCTTCTTAATGTATATCTGTGCAAGGCAAATCTAGAGGTCTGGTTCAACGGGAAACTTTTGCTGCCCGTCACCACTTTCAAAGCTTTCATTAAACAGAAAAAAAGGAAAAGAGGGGGAAACAACCAAAACTCGTAGGTTAAGATCCACACTGTTCACAGGGCTGTGGGGAAAAGTCCCTTTTTGTGCCTAGTAACCAGGTCTTAGTTACTGAGGCTCAGTCTCCAGAAGCGTTGGTCTAACTTCCAGTTTGTTGTGGTGACGAACGGTGAGCAATGGCCTGTGTTTATGCTGGGCGCGCTTTCTTTCCTGTTTGAGAAGGGGGGATGGGGATGGCAGGGATGGGGGTAGGGAATAGGGAAGAACTCCAGTAAATCTTTTCTCCACTTAACCACTGATTGTTGTAGATAGATTCATTTTGGGTCAGCCCTAGCAAGTTCTTCCTTGTCTGTTAGTGACACTTTGGGAATTCTCAGTAATCACATTAAAATAATAGTTTCAGCTATATAGATTCTTCTTCCCCAATCTGTCCTTTATCTTATTTGTTTCTTAGTAACTGATGAAAACAGCATTGTGGCTTCCTGCTCCTGATGAAGTGGAGTTAAATTAAGTGGCTGATGCCCTCAGCAAAACCTGCAATTTTGCTCTTGTTTGTGTAAAGCTATTTTTGATTCCTGGTCTGTAAAATGTTTTTTTTTCTTTTTTTTTTCATAAGATTATAGAGAATGCAAACCATTACCAGCTTTTTTTGTATAGAAAGCCTGAAGCTTTCTGTAAAACATTTAAAAATCTAACATCATTTTACATAGTAGTTGTAATTCAGCTGGTGATTTTGGATCTTTATATGTAATTATCTTTACATGTAATCTCAGGGTTCTGTGTTATAATTCTGGTACGATGAAGAATGTCATTGACTTTAAGATACTACTCCTGGCTTTAAGGATATTTTGGTAAAGTACTGGTGGTTGGAACTGGAGGCAGCCACACCAGTAAAGCATCTGAGAATAAAATGGTGAATGAGAGCTTATAAATATACTGACTCTGTTTGGCAAGTAGGACTTTTGCTGGTGATATCTTCTGAGTAGTTTATCCTATCACTGGACATTGTGGTTTTATGGATTTTGGAGCAAGTTGATTGGTAACTTGAGACTTAAACTAGAACTCCCTCCTAAAAGAAAAAAGAAAATATTTGTCTCAAAGTTCACAATTCTCTGAAAAATAGAGTTCTTTCATTCAGTGCCTTCATTTTTATAAGTGCAGCTCCATCAATGGTATGTTGGTAGAAATCAAGAACCAAACCTGCCTTGTAAACTTTTTATACTTGGAATTTGTGCAGCTTGTTAGTTATATATTGTAAGTGGTCCTTTTGTAATTTGAAGATTTTTGCAAACATGAGCTGCTTGATCTGCCATCTGTCCTTTTATTTTCATTTTCATGATTGTATAACGGCAGTCTATATGTTTTTAGGTCTTTTTTTTTATTATTGACTTACTATTTCTTCCCAGTTTCTTCCCTTAAATTTCATGCTGTTCTGAACACAAGTTATCATTTTATTTCAAATACCACTTCAATCACTGATTTGCTTTCTGGTTCCTTTTTCTTGTGTTGTTTTTGTTTCTGATCTTCCTTTTAGTTGTTGAAACCTAGCTCCTAAATGCTTAATGTAAATTATGTAGTGCATAATTTGGCACTTAAAAATTTTACATCCTGTTTTTATATTTTTCTCATAATTTTTTGTGTGCCTCATCATTTCAGCAACATTCTAAGCTCTCTGAAGGTACAGAAACTTAGTTGTATTTCTTTTGGATTATTTAAGTGCCCTGGTAGAGTGCTTTCTCAAAGTCCTTAAAGCAGAAGAATCAGAAGACCGGAATTCCTTGCCACTGTTGGTACTCATTAGCTCTGTGTAAAACTTGTTTGGTTTTTTTGGATCTTCTGTTTCTCATCTTGGAATTGGGTTGGGGTGGGGGTGGGGGTTAGAAATAATCTTTTAAGGTTCGTTTTAGCTGTCAGAGTCCCTGTTCTTTTATGGCACTGTCTTCTGCTCCAATCAAATGCATATCTTTACACAGTTTTTCATTTTTCCACCTCCTTTAGCATACTGGCAAAAGTCATCTCATTCTTCTGAAAGAGTTTCTTCCGTCCGCCACACTGTTGTTACCTTACTTAAGTCCTGTTTTCCTTCAGCTTTTGTTGGCTGATCTAAACAGGGTCCTCTTTTAGTGTTGTTCATGTTTTATATTGATCTCTGCTTTGTTAATATGACCTTTTCCTTGTGTGGAAACTTCTCAAGGTATAGTGTTTTCTTTTTTTAATTTATAATGTATCCCTGCCTTTAAAAGGTAAAGTTTTCTTTAAGCTTTGTAGACCTTGTAGACTGTTCTGTGCACATAGCAAAATAGTACCTTTTTACTAAATACAAAGTGCTTCTCTTTTGTTCTGTTGCTATAGATAGGTCATTCCAAATAAACTTAAGTGAACTATTGATTTTGATGCAGACCAGCAGCCTCTGCCATACTGAAGAAGTAAGCTTTAAGCAGAGACTAGAAAGATAAGTTAGGGAAAGAAAAGGCTAAGAGGAGAAAATGAAGTTCAGATAGGGAACATTATGTGTGAAGGAACTAGGGTGGGGGAAAGCAAGGACCTCAGAGAAACTTAGTACTAGAAGAAGAGAGCATGCCTGGGGAAAAGAATGCATGAAACAAAGCTTTAAAACTAAGCATAACCCAGATCTTGCAAGGTTTGGTAATCCAAATTAGAGATTTTAGTCTTTATCCTAAAGTTTTAAGTGGGGGACAGATATGCATTTTTTTTTCAGATATGCATTTTTAAAAGCTTTAGTTGTAAGGTGAATGAATTGGGAGAGAGGAGCTTAGAAAGGCTGCTTGAGAGTACAATTTGAGTAAGTATAGAATTGTGCAGTAGTTGTAGAGAAAACTTGGTGGATTAGAGAGAGATTTAGTTCTTCTGGTGAAAGAATTTTCTTCCCAAGTTTGTATTGCCTTATTTTTATAGAGCATGTACTCTTATTTACCTGCTTTAATGATCAGGATACTTTATATATCATTGGGTGTGCTGGAAAATATGTACATCTGTGATATATGTCAGCTAAGGGTAAATGCTAGAGGAAGAAATCAATATGTAGTACTGTTTTAGGTTATGTAGGTCACCAATTGTTAAATTGTATCAAACATGCAAAGATGACATCGAGGAGAAGCAACAAGAATTTATTATTGGTGTGGGAGGGCAGGTAAAAGGTACTGATAACTAAAAGTACAAAGCACTAAAAAAATGATTATGATACCCAACTGTTCCATTCAGGGTTATAATATTTGGATTTTTTTTGTAGTAAGATTCTCTACCTATAGTGTTTATTATGGGGCACCCCATAAATGTTAAATAGATGTGACCATGTCAGGGAGAGGGGAAGCTGTTAATTTGGTTGTTTTTGAAAGCCTGAGACTTTAGCAATTATCAATTTTCTTTTAGCAATAAGTATAAGTACCAGTAAACTTTTGCCTATCAGTTCTAATTTGGGATTAATACAGCAGGCAAATTTGTCATTACATTGAGATGGTTAAGTCCTTGGAAAGTTAAGTTTTAAATGAAAAGACTTTGTTCATTGCTGGAGTTGAGGTGCAACATTTTTAGGAAGTCAGAAATAGCCTTTTAATTTATTGGGGAGCTATTCTCATGTGAATTGAAAATATTTGTAATTTCCTTTTTTGTTGCTTTTTTTTTGTTTTAAGACAGAGTCTCACTTTGTTGCCCAGGCTAGAGTGAGTGCCATGGCGTCAGCCTAGCTCACAGCAACCTCAAACTCCTGGGCTCAAGCAAACTTTCTGCCTCAGTCTCCCAAGTAGGTGGGACTACGGGCATGCGCCACCATGCCTGGCTAATTTTTTCTATATATATTAGTTGGCCAATTAGTTTTCTTTTTATTTATAGTAGAGACGGGGTCTCGCTCTTGCTCAGGCTGGTTTCGAACTCCTGACCTCGAGCAATCCGCCTGCCTCAGCCTCCCAGAGTGCTAGGATTACAGGCGTGAGCCACTGCACCCAGCCTATATGTAATTTCCTTAACAGAGTCTGATACATAGTAAAGTTTCCATAGGTGTTAATCTGTTCCATTTTTTTGTTTGCTAGCTAGCTTTCTGCTAGGAAGAGAATTGCTTCCCCATTTGCAAATTTAAATTTTGTGGAACATAATATCTTTATCCTGTGTCTAGAAATTTCTCTTGTAGCTGAATTTCAGAGTGTAATATAAGTAAGAGTCTGTTGATTTTTTAGGCTATTTTGATTCCGTGTTTTCTTCTCATTTTGTGTTAATTGAGGTCAGGATGAGTCTCAGCCACATTGTATTAGTAAGTCCTGGTGGTCTGACACTGACATTAGTACATATTGTCCTTGCTGTTGGGAAGGCTAGTAAAATTCTGAGGTGTTCTTTCCTTTTGGGTGGATTGTTTGTCTTTCTGAATAAGAATTATATTCATTTATATATTTATAAACACTCTGAAAAGTGTTCTAGAACTTGTGCTTTTTGCACAATGTAAAGATGTAAAATCATAAATATCTGTTATTTATTGGGTAAAACATCTCAATAACATTACTCTGGCAAATGTTTTTTTTTATAGAGTATCTAATTGTGAACATATATTTTAAAATTTGGTATGACATTTCATGAATTAAATATTTTTACTTTAGTTGCTACAAACTGCAAATTTTGTATTAAAATATTTCATTAAATACTTTTAGTTACATAAAGGTTATATTCATGTTTTTTGATAGATTGTTAAATTTAGCAGCTCAACACATATGATGGAAAACTTTTTCTCTACAAGGTTCATATAAATTATGGAAACTCTTGGTTAAACTAAATCTAAACTGCATTTTAGAAATTGAAGGCTGAGGATTTGTTCTTCTTTCCAGCTGACTAGTCCAGTGCAGATGGTTTTTAGTTGTATTCAGGCACAAAGAAATGTACGCTTTGCTTTTTGATGTTCTGTAACATTCTTTGTCACATTTCCTTCCTTTCTGGTTGTATGTGTTTAATCACTTATGAATAATAAAATTATTCTATGTGGGCTGTAGTGGAGACTTCCCCCATATCTCAATGACCCCACACAGATAAAAGGGAAGGACATTTAAAACAAAACAAAACCAAAAACCAAGCATTTGAAAATACTGCAGTTTAATATGAGTGGTAAGGAGTTGTAGTAGATACGAAGTTGATAGGCAAGGTCAAATCATTCATCCAGCAAATACTGAGTATGTACATATTGCCAGAGACCATGGTAAACTCTGGTGATACAAGCAAAGAACAAGACGAAGGTGGTACATGTCCTCATGGAACTTATACTATAGCTGGGAACGTAGCATTAGACAAATATTTTCAAGTTATAAGAGAAGAACGGTGCTGTGGGAATGCACGGTGGTGGGCAGGGGATGATTGTGAGGACTGTTTGTATGGGTGGTGGAGGTGTCAAGGAACAGTTTTTTCCACAAAAAGTCTTCAACGTATTAATGGGCCTGGAGTTGAGAATATGGAGTGGCTTTCCATGAACTGAAGAAAGAAGGGCAGTGTGGCTGGAGTGGAGGAATCAAAGTAGGGAGGTGTTCAAAGGCAGCAGGCGGATGTTTCTTTTTAAGGCAGGTTGAGGATTTGGGGCTTTATCCCTACAGCAATGAAAAACCCTGGAGAAGGGGATAGGAGGTGGTTAAGAAGAGAGAGCAGTTATCCCGATTTGCATTGTTTAAAAGCAAAGGTCCCCTGAGTTGCATTTAAGGAGATTTAGTTTGGAGGCTACTGACAATTTGAACTAGAATGGTGCCAATAGAGGTAGAGAAAAATGGCTGATTTGAAATATACTTAGGACATAAAATGAATAAGATATAGATTAGGTGTGGAGGAGTAAGGGAGAGGAATGATTCACAATAATAGTATTTAAATGTGTGTAGGGCACTATCACTTTACACGTATTAAATCATTTAATTCTCAGAACAAGCCCATGAGGTAGGTATTGCTATCACCATGTATAGTTTAGTACAGAGGCTCATGGCCTCCCTGATTTTTAGTTTGAGGCATTTAGTTTGGGGGCATCTCATAATTGAGATAGAAAACTGAGGGTGGGGTGGAGGCTCATAAGTTTAATTTTGAAGATGTTGAATATGAAGTTGTCTATAAGATGTCCCAAATTCTGTCAAGTGGGCATTTGGATACAGGGTTTGGTGTTCAAGAGAGAGAGAAGTCTGGGTTAGAGACAGAGATTTTACTAATTGTGGGGAGTAATTAATGAAAAGGGGGAAAGTATGGAGCAAGAAAAAAGGGATTATCACAGAGTCCCAAGGCGTCTGAGGATCACATAGTTGAGAAGGGAGAAGATAAATACAAAATGGCTTGTATGCTATATCAAATGTTTGGACTTTATTCTGAAAAAATAGCTTTCAGTTAGTCTTGGTTCTTATTGAGATAAATGTGTCTATGGGATATTCAGGGACAGAACTGGACTTTCTCACTCTCTTTCCCCATATTTTTCTAAGAATAACCTTTCTCATTTCTTCAGAAGATAGTCGTCAGCTTTCTCATCATCCTGGTTACTTTGCTCTGGTCAGTTTTTCTTTTTTTTTTTTTGAGACAGACTCTCACTTTGTTGCCCAGGCTAGAGTGAGTGCCATGGCGTCAGCCTAGCTCATAGCAACCTCAAACTCCTGGGCTCAAGCGATCCTTCTGCCTCAGCCTCCCAAGCAGCTGGGACTACAGGCATGCACCACCATGCCCGGCTAATTTTCTCTATATGTATTAGTTGGCCAATTAATTTCTTTTTATTTATAGTAGAGATGGGGTCTCGCTCTTGCCCAGGCTGGTTTCGAACTCCTGAACTTGAGCAATCCACCCACCTCGGCCTCCCAGAGTGCTAGGATTATAGGCATGAGCCACCATGCCCGGCTGGTCAGTTTTTCCATGGTATTCTTAAAATGTAGACAGCTGAACATATTTTATGTATGATCTGAGCAGAGTATATAGCCTTCATCTTGTCCAGCATGTTCTGGACACTATGAATATAGGTAAAGATTGAATTAGCTTTTGAAAGGAGGGAAATGTTGTTACATTATGTTTCTTTTATCAACTAAGTGTTTTTCATAAATGTTGCTGTTACACCTTGTATCTCTCATCCTCATAGTCTAATTCTTCCTTTCTCTCAATGTAGGTATGGCATCACAGCTGCAGGTGTTTTCCCCCCCATCAGTGTCGTCGAGTGCCTTCTGCAGTGCGAAGAAACTGAAAATAGAGCCCTCTGGTTGGGATGTTTCAGGACAGAGCAGCAACGACAAATATTATACCCACAGCAAAACCCTCCCATCTACACAAGGGCAAGCCAACTCCTCTCACCAGGTAGCAAATTTCAACATCCCTGCTTACGACCAGGGCCTCCTCCTCCCAGCTCCTGCAGTGGAACATATTGTTGTAACAGCCGCTGATAGCTCGGGCAGTGCTGCTACATCAACTTTTCAAAGCAGTCAGACCCTAACTCACAGAAGCAACGTTTCTTTGCTTGAGCCATATCAAAAATGTGGATTGAAAAGAAAAAGTGAGGAAGTTGACAGCAACGGTAGCGTGCAGATCATAGAAGAACATCCCCCTCTCATGCTGCAAAACAGGACTGTGGTGGGTGCTGCTGCCACGACCACCACTGTGACCACAAAGAGTAGCAGTTCCAGTGGAGAAGGGGATTACCAGCTAGTTCAGCATGAGATCCTTTGCTCTATGACCAACAGCTATGAAGTCTTGGAGTTCCTGGGCCGGGGGACATTTGGACAGGTGGCTAAGTGCTGGAAGCGGAGCACCAAGGAAATTGTGGCTATTAAAATCTTGAAAAACCACCCCTCCTATGCCAGACAAGGACAGATTGAAGTGAGCATTCTTTCCCGCCTAAGCAGTGAAAATGCTGATGAGTATAATTTTGTCCGTTCTTATGAATGCTTCCAGCATAAGAATCACACCTGCCTTGTGTTTGAGATGCTGGAGCAGAACTTATATGATTTTCTAAAGCAAAATAAGTTTAGCCCACTGCCACTCAAGTACATTAGACCAATCTTGCAGCAGGTAGCCACAGCCTTGATGAAGCTCAAGAGTCTTGGTCTGATTCACGCTGACCTTAAGCCTGAAAACATAATGCTGGTTGATCCAGTTCGTCAACCCTACAGAGTGAAGGTCATTGACTTTGGTTCTGCTAGTCATGTTTCCAAAGCTGTGTGCTCAACCTACTTACAGTCACGTTACTACAGGTAAGTGGCAAATGCTGAAAAGCATGTCTTAGATTAGAGATCTGTTCTTAAATTTACCATATATTCCATAGGGCCACATATAATAATGAATTTATTTATTTATAGATTCTAAGATAGAAATAAGATAGTATGTGTTAGATCATTCTGTGTGTGGCATTCGTATATATGACATTATGTTATATCTGAAATTTTATTTAGCATTAGAAAAATTAACTCAATCTGATTATAAAGGTAGTTGAATTATACTAGGCTCTGTTTCTTTAGTACCATTATACCTAATTTTCCCATTTTAAGAATCTTTAAATATATAAGGGTACTTACTTATTTGTAATGAATTTGAGCATATGCTGCTATTTTTTCTAAGTTCTTATCTTGGCAGGTAAAATGCCTTGGGAATAACTCTAGGTTTAACTCTAGCAGCATTTTAGTCGTTTACGTTTTCTTTCTTCCGTAGTAGCATGAATTGGATCATAAGATTGATATTCTTGGCTGGGCGTGGTGGCTCACGCCTGTAATCCTAGCACTCTGGGAGGCCAAGGCAGGCAGATTGCTCGAGGTCAGGAGTTCGAAACCAGCCTGAACAAGAGTGAGACCCCATCTCTACTAAAAATAGAAAGAAATTAATTGACCAATTAAAAATATATATACAAAAAAAATTAGCCGGGCATGGTGGCGCATGCCTGTAGTCCCAGCTACTCGGGAGGTTGAAGCAGTAGGATCACTTGAGCCCAGGGATTGAGGTTGCTGTGAGCTAGGCTGATGTCATGGCACTCACTCTAGCCTGGGCAACAAAGTGAGACTCTGTCTCAAAAAAAAAAAAGATTGATATTCTTTCTTCCTGTTTTAACATTCTCCATAATACTTTAAACTTATTTGGTCATCCTAGAATGGCTTTGACCCAAGTACCTTAACACTTTAGTGATTTATATTTTTAGATTGATACTTTTAATATAACTACCTTTTTAATATATAATAATTATTGGAACAGTACCAAAAAGCTGGTATATATAATCTTGTCTGAGAAATAGAAGCACATTTTAAAAGCCTTGGTCTAACCTTGGTCTAAAAGTACTTTTCAAATGTGCTTTTACTTCTTAGCATCTCATTTATTTATCTAGTTATTTATTTTAAGGAATCTGATATTTAGTTTTAATGGTCATGTGTCAAATAAAAATCATGTAAGAATCCAATCAAGAAATGAAATATTATAGTTGAGTAAAGTAAGGGCAAAAAAGAAAAAAAATGAAATAATAAAAAATAGATAACTCACGAAATGTTTATAAAGAAGTATGTCCAACATGATGAGTGCCCAGTAATAAATTTTAAGAAAATAGAAATTATGAACTAAGAATTTTCTATGTGAAAATAATGTGAGGATATTTCAACCCATATAAGATTCAGAGAAAATGCCATCTATATGTATCTCTTTTTTAAAAATTGTGGTATAATTTGTGTAGTGTGAAGCTTACCATTTTAACCCATTGGTGCCATTCAGTGGTGTTAAGTACATTCACAGTGTTATGCAACCATTACCACTTTCTATTTCCAAATTTTTTTCATCACCCAAAGCAGAAACTTGAATTATTAAGCAATATAAATCCCCATTCTTCCTTCTTCCTGCCTCTGGTAAACCTCTATTTGACTTTTTGTCTCTATGACTTTGCCCATTCTAGATACTGCATATAAGTGGAATCATACAATATTTGTCTTTTGAGTCTGGTTTATTTCACGTAGCATAATGTTTTTGAGGTTAATCCCTACTGTAGTGTGTATCAACTTCATTCCTTTTTATGGCTCAATAATATTTCATTACATGTGTATACTACATTTTATTTATCTATTCATCTGTTGATGAACACTTGGGTTGTTACCACCTTTGGGCTATTGTGAATAATGTTGCTATTAACATTGGCACACACGTACCTAAGACCCTGTTTTTTTTTTTTTTTTTTTTTGAGACAGAGTCTCGCTTTGTTGCCCAGGCTAGAGTGAGTGCTGTGGCGTCAGCCTAGCTCACAGCAACCTCAAACTCCTGGGCTCCAGCGATCCTTCTGCCTCAGCCTCCCGAGTAGCTGGGACTACAGGCATGCGCCACCATGCCCAGCTAATTTTTTACATATATATATCAGTTGGCCAATTAATTTCTTTCTATTTATAGTAGAGACGGGGTCTCGCTCTTGCTCAGGCTGGTTTTGAACTCCTGACCTTGAGCAATCCGCCCGCCTCGGCCTCCCAAGAGCTAGGATTACAGGCGTGAGCCACCGCGCCCGGCCTAAGACCCTGTTTTTAATTCTTTTGGATATATAACTAGGAACGGAATTGCTGGATCATGTGATAATTCTGTGTTTAACTTTTTGAGAGACCACTTAGCTGTTTCCAACAGAGGCTGCGCCATTTTACATTCCCACCAGTAGTGCATGAGGTTTCCAATTTCTCCACATTTTCTATTCTTATGGGTGTGAAGTATTATCTTATTGTAGTTTTGATTTGTGTTTCTCTAATGATTAGGGATGTAGAGCCTTTTTCCATGTGCTTATTGGCATGTATATATCTCCGGAGAAATTTCTGTTCAGGTCTGTTGTGTTTTTTGATTTAAGTTTTTTTGTTGAGTTGTAGGAGGAGTTCTTTATATATTCTAGATATTAATAGATGTATGATTTGCAAATATTTTCTCCCATTCTATGAGTCTTTTCACCTCTGGATAGTGTTTGACACATAAAAGTTTTAACTTTGGTGAAGTCCAGTTTGTCTACTTTTTGTTTTGCTGGTGTTTTTAGTGTCATATACAAGAAATCATTGCCAAATCCAAGTCATGTAGCCTTTTCCCCTAAGTTTTCTTCTAAGAGTTTTATAGTTTTAGCTCTCTTACGTTTAGGTCTTCGGTTCTTTGTTAACTTTTGTGTATCGTGTAAGGGTCCATTGTCACATTTTTGCATGTGATTATTCAATCCCTACAACACCATTTTCTGAAAAGACTGTCCTTTCCCCATTGGATGGTCTTGGCACCTTTGTCAAAATCACTTGACCATATATACAAACATTTATTTTGGGGACTTTCTATTGTATTCCATTAGTCTATATACATCTGTCCTTATGCCAGTACAACCCCATTTTGATTACTATAGTTTTGTAGTGAGTTTTGAAATCAGGAAGAGTGAGACCTCCAATCTTTTTCAAGATTGTTTTGGATATTTGGGGTCCTTGAGATTCTATATGAATTTTAGGATGGATTTTTCTGGTTTTTGCAAAAAACATTGTTGATTTTTCATAGAGATAGCATTGAATGTATAGATCGCCTTGGGTAGTATTGACATCTTAAAAATATTATGTCTTTCAATACATCCTTATTTTATAGTTTTATAAAATTGTGATACCTTTTTTTCTGGAGGCAAAGAAACACTTAGAGCCTCTGGTTTCATGCTGACCTAGGAAACCTTGGTTAATTTTGAGAATTTCATTTCCATTTATTTATTTATGCCTCGGGAGATTTAGGTTTTAATTACATTTGCTTTTTAATACTCTCCTTTGAGCAATCCCCACCTTCCCCAGCCCCCATATATATAAAAGACACTCTACAGGTACACTGAAGAGTTCAGCTCAGCATCCCATTCTGAGAGCTGGGGAGGTAAGGGTGAATTGCCAATAAAGGGTGAAGGCTGATCAGCTGTTTCTCAATCTTTAGTCTGTGACTTTAGGTATTCTTTATTTGTCCTGTCAAAGACAAAGTGCATTCTTTGTAGTAACAGTTTTAAAATTGAAAAAGGGAGAGCAATGGAAGATAAAAATTATTTCATGAATCATGTTGAAAGCATTTTCATTAAAGGGTAGAGGAGATTTGAAGGATAAATAGTTCTGACTATTTAGCTTTCTCTAATGTATAATTCATTTGAATAAGTTTCAGCATTAGGTTGCTGATCTTTGTGTTTTTTTCTTATCCTTTTAATTTAAGCTGCCAATTGAGTAATTTTGGTTTTGTTTTTATAAGAAAGTATGATTTTTCAAATTTTTTAAATTCTTCAATAAAGCTTCCTATAAATCCATTGCATTTTAGTTGTTGACTGTAAGAGTATGTTTATAAAATTGTTACTATATTTAGATTTATTTTAACCTTTTAAGAAATAGTCTTAGGCATTCTGGGAGGCCAAGCCAGAAGGATTGCTTGAGGTCAGGAGTTCGAGATTAGCCTGAGCAAGAGCAAGACCCTGTCTCTACTAAAAATAGAAAGAAATTAGTCGGACAACTAAAATATATAGAAAAAATTAGCCGGGCATGGTGCCACATGCCTGTAGTCCCAGCTCCTTGGGAGGCTGAGGCAGGAGGATCACTGGAGTCCAGGAGTTGGAAGATGCTGTGAGCTAGGCTCATCATAGCTCACTGCAACCTGAAACTCCTAGGCTCCAGCAATCCTCCTGCCTCAGCCTCCCCAGTAGCTGGGACTACAGGTGTGTACCACCACTAGGCTAATTTTTCTATTTTTAGTAGAGACAGGATCTCACTCTTTTCTCAGGCTGTTCTCAAACTCCTGACCCCCCACCAATCCTCCTGCTGTGGCCTCCCAGAGTGCTTAGGATTACAAGCATGAGCCACTGTGCCTGGCCCAATTTGAATTTTTTAACAAAGACTTTTTATTTTTAATTGGTACATAATAGTTGTGTATATTTATAGTTTTTCTCTTTTTAATTGCTACTATTTTTAGATTTATTTCGTATTTTTTAAAATAAATAGTCTTAGAGAAAAACTCAATAATGACTAAACCCAGAATGAATATTGATTTAGTTTAAATTTTATGGTAACATGTATACCTCTTCCTTATTTTTTTAGTGACGTATAATCTAAGAGTAATTTTAAGTGGAGTTAAGTTTACCCTTTAAAAACAGGAGTTCATTCTGTGTGTTGCTGAGTAAGTACTATGTATGCTGAGGTTTAGTATCCAGAGCTTGACTATGTTTAGGATTTAATATGAGTACTCTATTGTGTCATAGTAATACTTGATAATGAGCCTAAGGCAGATGGAATGGCAGCTCAGGCATTCTTTCTTTATCACTAGTTTTATCCACAGCAGTCCTCTTAAGCTTCTTTCTTGTTGCTTTGTTGCCATATTAGAGTCCATTAAGTCCTGACCCTGTTGTCTTTCAGGAAACCTCTGTGAAATCCTCTTGGCTGGTGATTCATTCTGGCTCCAAAGCTAGCCACCTTCTTACCCTCCTTTTTAATTTACATTGCTTTTTCTTGCAATGTAACTTAAAGAACAAATACTAAATAGGCTCTAACTACTATAGCCAAGTGGTAGAAATAGCATCCCTGCCTTTTGATTTCCCAGCTTCAAACATCTTTAAATTGAAAAATTCTTCCAGTGTTGTAAATAAAGCTTTATTTCACTGGCACCCAGAGCAAACTCAGGATCACCTAACAGCACAAATCATTCTCTGGTTATTTTCATGAACGTGCCAAAATATTATCAGTTGACATAAATTTGCCACCCTGCTGTCTCTGTTGGCTGTGGGCATGGCTAAATGAGCCAGGCAATGGAAATAATATATTCTCTGGCACACTGTAAATGTAGACTGACTCCAAAAAAAGCTGCAGTCTTTGGGGCTTGAGTTTTAGGGACAAAGGTTTGCTATACTTACAAGCTTAATTAATGCTTTTCCATTCTCAACAAACTAGCCAACCTTTATTTCAAACTGAATCACTTTGTTATTTATGGAAGGACAAGGTCTAGAAAAGGAGAACATATCTTCAGTTTATCCTAGACAAACAAATAGTCTAATTTCCTCTGACAGTGAAACTACAGTTTCACCTAAGCCACAGATGCCGGAAGTTAGACTTTATGTAACATCTCTGATCTGGTAAGTAAGTAGGTTTGATGCCTCTAAGATAGGAAGAAAGAAACAAGAATGTTCGTGAAAATAACCAGAGAAGATTTGTGCTGTTAAGTGATCCTAACCCGAGCTTGCTCTGGGAGCCAGTGAAATAAAGCTTTACAACTTTGGAAGACATTTTCAATTTAAAGAAGTTTGAAGTTGGGAAATCAAAAGGCAGGGATTGCTATTTCTACCACTTGGATATAGTAGTTAAGAGCCTGTTTAATATTTGTTCTTTAAAGATGAAATGTGTCTTCAAAGAAGAGACCCACCATGTCCAAAGCACAATTAATGCCATTTTCCTACTTAAAGTGAATACTGCCAGTTTTTGTTTTTTTCTTTCTCTTTCCCGTGTTTTAGTAGATACTTTTTTTTACTGCCCAGTTGTTATTAGAATGTTAGAGCTGAAAAGGGACCTAGAAGAGTAATTATCTAACTCAGCTTCCTTATGCAGATGAAATAGAACTAGAGTTTCAGCATCTATAGAGTTTATATTGAGGGATTGAGAAATAATAGAGGCCAAAGGAAAAGATGTAGTAGAAATATTTCCAAGAATTATAATCTGAATTCAGAGTTTAAAACATTCAGTACTTAGAGGTGAACCTGCTCTGATGATGCCTTACTGTTCAGTAAAGGAGAAAATAACTTCAGACTTCTTGCTCCCTGGAGTTTAGGTAAGTCTAACATTTCTAGGCCCAAATAATAAAAAGCCCTTAATGGACTGAGCAATCTTATTAATCTTTTACTGATTTTTTTCTTTTGATATTTGCCTTTTTATAAATATATGGTATGGTAGAGTTGATGTTTTGAGTGAGCTTTTGCTGGAAATCTTTTGCTGCTTTTGTCACTCCAGAAGCAGGGTGAAACCAAATGAAAAAACTTTCAGCCAGTCTTCAGGTTTTTTTTAAGACACGGGGCTTGGGGGCATTAGTGTTTTCCTTAATTTCCTTAATTTTCCTTGGGGATTAGTGTTTTCCTTAATTTCCCTGAAACTTTAAGCTCCAGAAGACTGACAGTTATTACATATTATTGCTACCTTTTTAAAGAAATAAGTTACTTGGATGGCCTAGCCTTCTCTGTGACCTACCTTTTGGACTTTAAAATGTCCTCCTGGTATGGTGGGAATGGGAAAATCAATTGATACTTTGGAATGTTCTCAGCCCAGTTTTTATTTTGGCACAGAGCCATTTTCACTCCCCCCTGGCAGCTATTTTTGGCACTGTCATGAACTTGGAAATTAACGATTCTGCTCACTGAGAATAGAAAATTTTGTTCCTTTTCAATTTTAGAAAAGCTTTTATGTTGTTTCTGAGTATTACTCTCTAGCTCCTGTCAAACTTGTATGATCTTAAAAATACACCATAATTGTTGGGATTTAATTGAACTCTGAAATTCCAACAGTAATATATGGCTCTAACCACTTGCAACAGGAATATCACTTTTGAGGATTGTTTCTTTGGTGAACAAAACCACAGTTCACATCGAATACCATAAAACTAGTTATATTGATGGTTGCACCTATATCTGACACAAATTTTAAGTCTGAACAGGCCTGGATTTTCTGCTATTTGTGTGCAAGGATCAGGAAAGCTTTTAGATCCTGTGGAGTCCCCCAATTTACTCTTTTTCTAAGGGCTACTATTCACAAATAATTATTTGGAGAATAGGGAAATTATTTTATGCCCTCTCTCTTAATCTTTGCATCTCTCCTACCCCCGGCACATATACACAAAGCAACAATAAGCACATAATATTTGAAAGTAGTTTGGAAAAACTAGACATTCCATGAGGAGACATAGCCAGTTAGATGGTTATTCATGAAGAGATCTGCTTTTCCATTTAGTACCTACTACATGAGGGATCTGGATCTGGAGTGCCCTTACAGATCCAAGTTCTATGAGAAAGAAAGGAAATAATTTAGAGAGATGATAAATTGCTTAAGAGCTCAGATCCTGGATCCAGACTGCTTAGGTGCCTTCATTTAGTAGTTATGTACCTTGGGCAAGTTACTTAACCTCTCAACGCCCAGTTCCTTCATCTGTAAAATGGAGGTAATACTTTATAGAATCTAAGATGCCATTGATTATAAGATGTAACATTATTTATGTACCACCTAAGGAAGTAAAGACACTGCCATTAAACTAAAATATAGTATAAAGCCGGGCGTGGTGGCTCATGCCTGTAATCTTAGCACTCTGGGAGGCTGAGGCAGGTGGATCGCTCAAAGTCAGGAGTTCGAAACCAGCCTGAGCAGTAGCAAGACCCTGTCTCAATTAAAAATAGAAAGAAATTAATTGGCCACCTAAAAATATATATAGAAAAAATTAGCTGGGCATGGTGGCACATGCTTGTAGTCCCAGCTACTCAGGAGGCTGAGGCAGGAGGATTGCTTGAGCCCATGAGTTTGAGGTTGCTGTGAGCTAGGCTGACGCCACGGCACTCTAGCCCGGGCAACAGAGTGAAACTCTGTCTCAAAAAACAACAACAACAAAAAACAAATGAAATATAGTATAACTTGTAAAAATCCTCTTAATTTCATAGATGTTAAAATGTGAAAAAATATGGATATTAGAATTGATGACATATCATACTTTTATAGGACTGTTGTAAGGATTAAGTGACTCAACCTTTATAAAGAACTTAGTGCATAGCACATAGCACTATGTTAGTGTCATCTATTATAATTATTGGTATTAGCGTTACCTATTATTCCCTTTTAGAACTCATTTATCTCTTAATTTTAGTTATAGTTTGAAAAATGCCTATGTATATATACCACCAGTCAAACAGATTTATGTAGATGAATATGTATTTACTGAGAAACAGTATAATATTCTCAACTCTGGAGCCAGACTGCTGGGATTCAGATCCTAGCTCTGCCACTCATTAACTATGTGCTTTTGAGCAAATTATTTAATCTTTCTTTGCCTCAGTTTCCTCCTCTATAAATGGGGAAAATTTACCTTAGATGTGTTCATATATATAGCATATATATATATAGTTATGGATTACCTTAGTATTTAAGTTTCCCTACAGTTATGTTTCTCACTTGGAGCATGAATGAAAATGACTATTTCTGAAAGCACACAGAGAGTTCAAAGTTTTAAAATAGTGATACTGTAATAATAGTTGTTATTCTGTCTAACACTTACATAGTACTTGCTATGTGCCAGGCATTGGTCTGAAAGCTTTAATATATTAATTTATTTAAACTTCACAGTACCCCTATGTGATGGGTATTCTTATTGTCTCCACTTTATAGATAAAGATTAAGTATTATACCTACAGCTATTAATTGATGGAACTAGGATTCAAACCTTGATAGGCTGGCTTTAGAGTATGTTGTCAACCACCATGTCTCTTTAGAAGGCATTTCTGTCACACAGGGGTATTTATTGAGTAGGCCATTTAATTCATTTATTTTAATTTAAAAGGTGCTAGAACTAAAAGACTATCTGTCGTCCCTCATCTATGATTCTAAATTTCAGAAAGCTCTCAAAAATGAAGATTTTCCCCACAAGTTTGGTGGGGAAAAAATTTTATTGGCAAGACCTGACTTGAACCATTGTAAGTCTATTTAAAGTCTTTATTTAGCCAACTTAGTATGACTGCTTATTGTTTTGTTACAGGAATGTTAACGTATTTGATTATGGGACACTGCCTTGAACTCTACTGGGATTATTATGTAATGTATAGTTTGTGTTCTGTATTACCTTTCTGAAGTTCAAAAAATTCTGAATTCACAAACACATCTGGCACCAGGAGTTTTGGATGACAGATTGTATACCAAAGATTGTTTTCAGTTTTATTAAATAAATGTACCTTTAGCTGATACTAAAGTAGGACTTAGTAAATTTCCCCAAGTAATATTTATTTTTATATCTGATATTTTTGTTTTTACTAGAGCCCCTGAAATTATTCTTGGATTACCATTTTGTGAAGCTATTGATATGTGGTCGCTGGGCTGTGTGATAGCTGAGCTGTTCCTGGGATGGCCTCTTTATCCTGGTGCTTCAGAATATGATCAGGTAAGAGTGTTTATTTAGATGGAAATAGAAAGTTAGTAGTTACTAGTGAAATGTAAAGGGAAGAGAAGTACTAGTATTTAGATACTAGGGAAAGAGTAGTCCAATTACTACTGAAGAATTTTTTAAAGAATAATCGAGTTGTCTCTACCTGCTTCTTAGTCTAAAGTATGTTTGCAGTTCTACAGTAAAAAAAGAATTTTATTTTATATTAAGATTGGTACTTTTCTAAATCTGTAATGATTTAGGGACTTTCATTAACATGCCTTGTGAGTTAAGATATGAAAGTAAAATAAGGATGAGGAACTGGAAGTGAACATTGACTCACTGAGAGCTATTGTTATTTCCTTTTATACATGGCACAGACTGAAGTAAGTACTCTCTTTGGTCTAAAATGTATTAGGTCCCAGAAGCTGTGATAAATTTGGGTCTCTGTAAAATAGGATTTAGGAGGAAATCAGCTGAATTATGAAGTATTATAATAATCAATATGTTTCAAAATAGGTAAGCTTTAGAAGATATGCTATAATTTCCTAAGGAATTGGTCCATTGAGGAAAGAAATTTTGCCATGGAAAGTAAATTATGAATTCTCATTTCTTGTTCTTTTTTTTTTTTAAAGTGATTTTACCCTCCATGCTATAAGCTCCTTGAGGGTAGAGTCAGTTTCATACCACCAGTGTGTCCTTAGCTCCTGACACTGTGTCTGGCACATAGTAGGTGCACAAGTGGTTTTTTTTGAGAGATAAATGGTTATATCTGGAGTGATTAGAAGAAAAAGAGCAAAATAATGTTTTTCCCTATTCAGTCTAGAATTTTTTCTTTTCAATCTGAATAGATGTAGTGTTTACTAGCTGTCCTTTCCACATTGGATTGTCTTGGCATCCTTGTTGAAAATCAATTGACTATAAATATATTGGTATTTCTGGACTGTCAATTCTATTTTATTGATCTGTATCCTGTATCTGTTCTTATGCCGTTTACCACATTGTTTTGATTACTTTAGCTTTGTAGTAAGTTTTGAAATCAGGAAATGTGAGTCCTCCAGCTTTGTTCTTTTTTGAGATTGTTTTGGCTATTTGGGACTCTTCCATTTGTTTAGGATAACTTTTCAATTTCCTCAAAAAAGCCAACTGGGGGCAGGGTGGGTGTAGTGTTTCAAGCCTATAGTCCCAGCACTTTGAGAGGCTGAGGCAGGAGGATTGTTTGAAGCCAGGAGTTTGAGACAAGGCTGGGCAACATGGTGAGACCTAGTCTCTAGTCTCTAAAAAAAATAGAAAAATTAGCCAGGCATCATGGTGACACTCATGTGTAGTCCCAGCTACTGGAGAGACTAAAGCACGGATTGTGTGAGCCAAGAGTTCAAGGCTGCAGTGAGCTATGATCACTGCACTCCAGTCTGAGTGACAGAGCAAGACCCTATGTCTTAAAAAAAAAAAAAAACCCAGCTGGGATTTTGATTGGAATTACACTGACTTTGAAGTATTGCTACCTTAACAGTATTAAGTCTTCTGATCCATAAACCTGGGAAATCTATTTATTTAGCTTTTCTATAGCAATGTTTTTTCAGAGTATTAGTACAATGTAATTTTCAGAGTATAAGTTTTACACTTCTTTTAAAAATTTATTTCTAAGTATTCTATTTTATTGATGCTATAATGAATGGAGTTATTTTTAAATTTCATTTTCAGATTATTCATTGTTAGTATGTAGAATATAGTTGATTGTAATTAAGCTTGAACTCTTTTTCTGTTAGTTTTCTAATAGAACTCTACTTACAATAGTTTTTTATGAATTCCTTATGATTTTCTATATACAAGATCATGTCACCTACAAATATAGTTTTGCATTTTTCCTTCCAGTCTAGATGCCTTTTTTTCCCTTACCTAATGCTTTGCATTGTACCTCTAGTACAGTGTTGAATAGAACTATTGAGAGTGGATATCCTTGTTATGCTCCTAATTTTAGGGGAAAAGCATTCAGTTTTTCACTATTAAGTATGATGTCAGCTGTGAATTTTTCATAGATACTGTAGCTGAGATTTTATAACATACTCGTCAGTTTTGAAGTCAAACATGTATTCCCCTTCTAGATATTAGTTAGTAGCTTCAAATTCATTGAAAACATTTTAATTGTTTAAATAACAATAATACTTTTTATTTGCTTAAATGTGGGATTTTTATTGTTGCATTATTTTAAGCTATGTGAAAGCATTGGGGTGATGGCATCTCATTCTGTTTTCATGAAGAAATTCATTTTATAATAGTAAAAATTTAAAATGTTTTAATTCCATAAGTACATCCATATAGTAGAAAAACTGAAGAGATTCAATTAGTCAAGAGACAAAAATTCCAACCTCTACTAGTTTCACTACTCAAAAATAATCTGTTATGTTTTGGTGTTTTTTATATTTATATATATTATTTATTTTCATTACGTGTTTAGTGAGTACCTTCTTTATGTCAGGCACTATAGGCACTGGGGATGCAATGCTGAATAATGTATTGTCCTTGCCCTCATGTAGACTGTAGTTTGGTGGTAAACAGACATTAAGTAAATAATCATAAAAATAATTGCCTAATATAATTAAGATAAATTCTGTGAAGGAAAATGTAATTTGCAGTGAGTGTATGTGTTTGCATGCATGTGTGCCTATCTCCTGTTTATGTCCTAAATACTTCTTGATTATGTTCATTTTTTTCCATTGCTACTTTGCTAGTCTAAGCTATCTTCATCACTTACTAGACTGTCTCCCTTTTTCTATTCTCCAGTCTTTGTCCAGAGTAGTTTTTTCTTTTTCTTAAGACAGGGTCTCGCTCTGTTGCCCAGGCTAGAGTACAGTGACATCGTCATACCTCACTGCAACCTCAAACTCCTGGGCTCAAGTGATCCTCCTGCCTCAGCCTCCCAAATAGCTGGGACTACAGATGATGCATATCACCACACCTAATTTCTCTATTTTTTGTAGAGACAGGCTCTTGCTGTGTTGCTCTGGCTGATCTTGAGCTCTTCAGCTCGGCTTCCCAAAGCACGAGGATTACAGGCATGCCACTGTGTCCAGCTGTGAGACAGAGTCTTGTTCTGTTACCCAGGTTGGATTGCAGTGGTACGATCATAGCTCACTGTAACCTTGAACTCCTGGGCTCATGCAATCCTCCTGCCTTAGCCTCCTGAGTAGCTATGACTACTACTACTGTGCCTGGCTAATTAAAAAATAAAACTTTTTAATAATTTTTTTAAAGATGGATTCTCACTATGTTGCCCTGGCTGGTCTTGAACTCCTGGCCTTAGGCAGTCCTCCTGCCTGGCCTCAAAGTGCTGGATTATAGGCATGAGCCGCCATGCCCAGCCTAGACTAAATGACTAAATCTCTTTTTTTTGAGACAGAGTCTCACCCTGTTGCTGGGGCTAGAATGCCATGGCATCAGCCTACCTCACAGCAACCTCAAACTCCTGGGCTTAAGCAATCTTTCTGTCTCAGCCTCCCAAGTAGCTGGGATTACAGGCATGCACCACCATGCCCGGCTAATTTTTTCTATATGTTTTTAGTTGGCCAATTAATTTCTTTTTATTTTTTTAGTAGAGACAGGGTCTTGCTCTTTAGCTCAGGCTGGTTTCGAACTCCTGACCAGAAGCGATCCTCCCACCTTGGCCTCCCAGAGTGCTAGGATTACAGGCATGAGCCACCACGCGCCGCCAAGGCCTACTTATTTTCTTCAGAATACCAACTCAGTTTGAATTATACATTCAGTGTCTGTGTTCCTTACTGAACCGTAAACTCTACGAGAGCAAAGAACCATGTCCAGTTTTAAAATCACCTCTGCTTGCCTCAATAAATACTTACTGAAGAGAAGAGAGGTATTTACTACATATAGTTATGTTCCAAATATAAATTTTGGACATAAAGGGCATATATATTATATTCATTCAAATCTAAGACATCACTGATTTAAAGATTGTTTTTCCTCTGAGAAAGAAAGAATGCTAACAATTAACTTATGATACCTATTTGTAATGTATATCTTGATTTCAGGGATGTTAAGTGATAAGTGTGATGAAATGTAATTTTTAAGAAAATGAGATTATATTAGTTAGTAATCTCTTTTCTAATTAATATATTGCAAAATATCATTACATGTCAGTAAGTTAGCTTCTACCTATCATTTTAAAATGTTTTGCATACTACTCTATTATATAGATTTAATCCTGGATTTAAAAATAAAGTATGCAAAAGAAACTTGAACATTTTAAAATATCTTATTAGCGGCGCGGGTGGCTCTATGCCTGTAATCCTAGTACTCTGGGGGCCGAGGAGGGCGGATTGCTCGAGGTCAAGAGTTCGAAACCAGCCTGAGCAAGAGCGAGACCTGTTCTCTACTATAATAGAAAGAAATTAATTGGCTAACTAATATATAGAGAAAAAGTTAGCTGGGCATGGTGGTGCATGCCTGTAGTCCCAGCTACTCGGGAGGCTGGAGGCAGAAGGATGCGTGAGCCCAGAGTTTGAGGTTGCTGTGAGCTAGGCTGGACGCCACGGCACTCACTCTAGCCTGAGCAACACGGCGAGACTCTGTCTGGAAAAAAAAAAAAAAAAAAAAAAAATATATATATATATATATATATATATATCCATATATATATATATCTATATCTTATTTTAGTTTCCATTATGAACTTTCACAGATTTGGAGTAATATCTTGCTATTGTGTGAGCAGGCCAGAATTGGCCATAGTTTGCCAACCCCTGCTTAACATTCTTAAAAACTTATTGTGGATTCCAAAGCTTGTTTCTGTAGCTTATATCTGTTAATATATATAGATTAGAAAATAAAACAGAATTTTGGGGTTGGGAAAGTTGGAAGTAAGATTTATTTCCTTATAAGTTTTTTTTTTTTGGAGACAGAGTCTCACTTGTTGCCCAGGCTAGAGTGAGTGCCGTGGCATCAGCCTGGCTCACAGCAACCTCAATCTCCTGGGCTCAGCGATCCTACTGCCTCAGCCCCGAGTAGCTGGGACTACAGCGCATGCGCCACCATGCGGCTAATTTTTTGTATATATATTTTTAGTTGGTCAATTAATTTATTTCTATTTTTGGTAGAGACGGGGTCTCTCTCAGGCTGGTTTTGAACTCCTGACCTTGAGCAATCCACCCGCCTCAGCCTCCCAAAGTGCTAGGATTACAGGCGTGAGCCACCGCGCCCGGCCCTTATAAGTTTTTTACTTTCTAATTTCATGTTAAGTATAGCCATTCATATATGGAATTGGGGTTATAAAAAAATTTATCTCTTACATTGCCCTCAGGTAGTGGGGGAGAGAAGAAAATCATCTCTTCTATTGCTTTTCTGCTTGGGGAGAATTACAGAAGCAGATAGAAGTATGAATAATAAAACAAAATTTTATTTATTTATTTTTTGAGACAGAATCTCACTTTGTTGCTCGGGCTAGAGTGAGTGCCGTGACGTCAGCCTAGCTCACAGCAACCTCAAACTCCTGGGCTCATGCCATCCTTCTGCCTCAGCCTCCTGAGTAGCTGGACTACAGGCATGCGCCACCATGCCCTGCTATTTTTTTCTCTATATATTAGTTGGTCAATTAATTTCTTTCTATTTATAGTAGAGATGGGGTCTCACTCTTGCTCAGGCTGGTTTCGAACTCCTGACCTCAAGCAATCTGCCCTCCTCCGGCCTACCAGAGTGCTAGGTTTACAGGCATGAGCCACCGCGCCCTGCCTAAAACAAAATTTTAAAAACAAGAATATACAAGAATAATAAAACAAATTTTATAAACATAGCCCATTTCATTTCAGAACTATGACATCATCACACATCATCTCTGGAAATCTCATGAGAAGAGTGTGAAAAAGGCAAATAACCTCTATTATGAAAATAGTTTTTACTTCATAGACCTCTTGAAAAGAGTCTTGGGGACCTCCAGAGGTTCCCTCACACCATACTTTGAGAACTGCTAGTGTAGTTTATAGTAGGTGTTCAATAAAAGTTGAATAAATTAAATATAGTACCTGCCCTCTACTGATGTTCCCTCTACTGATATGATGAGGAATTAAGTGCTAAATTTTATGGTATGAGGGATAAGTTCTGTGGCTATTTAGAATAGAGGCAATTGACAAGAGCTAGAGTATCCAAGGAAGAAAGAGGTTTGAGGACATTTTTCCTCAATCTTTCTCATTTGGTAGTACATTATAAAGTAAAACAAACAAGAACAAAATAGGTAATCCATGAAAAAATATTTAGAAACTGTTCTAGAAATCTAAGATTTTCTCAATTTTGTATTAGAAGTTTACAAAAATGCAAAAAAGATTACACTCAAAATTTTCAAAACTGAGTGTCCATGTAAATAACAGATAATAGTAACAAGGAAGTTACTAAGTAAATATTTGGGAATTCTTATGGATGGGTTAACATATATATGTATTTACAGGTAAATTTCATTTGTATTTATTAAAGACTTAATTTCTTTGTAATACTTTTCTTTTTGGGCCAGAGCTAATAATTTTTACTATAAAAGTCTTTAATAGTTTCCTTTTTCACTTCAAATTGGTATTTGATTGTTTTATGTTTCAGATTCGTTACATTTCACAAACACAAGGCTTGCCAGCTGAATATCTTCTCAGTGCCGGAACAAAAACAACCAGGTTTTTCAACAGAGATCCTAATTTGGGGTACCCACTTTGGAGGCTTAAGGTCTGTCTTCCTTACTATTCTACCTGGTCCTGTACTTCCCACCCTCAACTTTGAATTCAAAGTTTAGTTATTAAATTCTGGAGGTAGAAGAAGGAAAAGTATGTTTGCAGGAAGAAACTTTTTGAAAAGTCATTTCATTGTACCTATTTGGCATTGTTGTTAATTAAAAAACAAAAACATTAAATGCCAGTTCATTTGGCTGAGGATGTTGTGTATGTTGAAACAGCAGCTGTTATGGGGTGTGGAAAGTAGTTGTTCACCATTAAGTGATATGAGGAACTAGAGACATTCAGTAATGACTGTTTTTTAGAGAATTCTCAATAAATATGATAAAAGAACATAATTTTCTCACTGCCCACATCCAGGTCTTATATATGTATATATTAAAAGTATCTACTTTTTACTTCTGAGCCTACTCCTTTAACTTGAGAAATCTTTTAGTAATTTGATCACCCTTGTGATACTCTGCCTGAGACTGTTGAACAGTTAGCATTTGAGTTATCAATTTATTTCAAAATAGCTTTAAGAGAGTAATGGTAATATCCCTTTTATCTGACATTTCTTCAGGAACTGTGCTGCATCATTGCATGTTTATTTTATCACTGTTAAAAAGGTGGCTAGATATCAAGGTCACATCTCTCCACCAGAAGATTTTCTGGTTATAAATTACTTCCATGTTTACCATCTATGGTTGGCAAGGTGACGACACTTATCTCTTTGTATTCAGGCTTTGATTTTGAATAAAACGTGAAAATAACATACAGGTGGAATTTTCCCCCCCAAAATCCATATTTTATAGACACCCGAAGAACATGAACTGGAGACTGGAATAAAATCAAAAGAAGCTCGGAAGTACATTTTTAACTGTTTAGATGACATGGCTCAGGTGAGTATGGAAAGTTTCAGAAAGTTAGACATGTATGTATTTCTTTAATCAGAGACACACTTTCATTGATTATACTAAAGACAAATTTAATCTGTTAGCTTTCTAGTATTCATTTTCAGTTTTTACAGAAAAATGCATTAATATTATGCCATATATATATATATATATAAAAGAAAATTTGAATCCTAACAAAGTATACTTTTATAATTTTCTCCCTTTGCTTAACTGGTCTTGTTATATACCAATATTTTAAAATATTACTTATGAAGGTTTCTTTATTGTCCCATTTTCTCTACTAAATAAATACTTACATAAGAGCTACATTTATTGATTGCTTATTGTGTTACAAACTCTGAACACTTTACACTTGTGTCATTTAATATTTTCAACAGTAGAAACTTTTTTTTTTTTTTTTAACTCCCTGGGCTCAAGCTGATCCACTGCCTCAGCCTCCCCCAAATAGCTGGGACTACAGATGATGCATATCACACACCTAATTTTCTATTTTTTGGTAAGACAGGCTCTTGCTGTGTTGCTCTGGCTGATCTTGAGCTCTTCAGCTCGGCTTCAACAGCACGAGGATTACAGGCATGCCACTGTGTCCAGCTGTGAGACAGAGTCTTGTTCTGTTACCCGAGTTGGATTGCAGTGTACGATCATAGCTCACTGTAACCTTGAACTCCTGGGCTCATGCAATCCTCCTGCCTTAGCCTCCTGAGTAGCTATGACTACTACTACTGTGCCTGGCTAATTAAAAAATAAAACTTTTTAATAATTTTTTGTAAAGATGGATTCTCACTATGTTGCCCTGGCTGGTCTTGAACTCCTGGCCTTAGGCAGTCCTCCTGCCTTGGCCTCCCAAAGTGCTGGGATTATAGGCATGAGCCGCCATGCCCAGCCTAGACTAAATGACTAAATTCCTTTTTTTTTGAGACAGAGTCTCACTCTGTTGCTGGGGCTAGAATGCCATGGCATCAGCCTACCTCACAGCAACCTCAAACTCCTGGGCTTAAGCAATCTTTCTGTCTCAGCCTCCCAAGTAGCTGGGATTACAGGCATGCACCACCATGCCCGGCTAATTTTTTCTATATGTTTTTAGTTGGCCAATTAATTTCTTTATTTTTTTAGTAC